AGATTTTCATTCTTTGATTTCAAAGCATTTTGACAGCAGCCTTCCTTCTCCCTTGAAGTGTTTTGAGATGCTGATCACACCAGAGCTAGAGTATCCAATGGTGTGTGTGGGAGTTAGTAAAGGGTAAGTGACAACAAGTGATAAGTAAAGGATAAGTGATAAAGTGTAAGTGATATTTGGTGATAAGTAAAGGATAAGTGATAAAGTGTAACTGATATTTGGTGATAAGTAAAGGATAAGTGATAAAGTGTAACTGATATTTGGTGATAAGTGATAACTGGTGATACGTCACTGGGAATATCATGGCTGCTTCTTGGGATAAAGATGGACTTGGTATTGAAGAAGTGCTTCTTAATTTCACTTACATTTTGAAATGGTCTGTAAGATATTGAAACTTGTTTGTTTTTTATTTTCTCAGCACTGATAGACACCTGCACTTTGACATCATCAACATGAATTCTTCCTCAAGTTGGTTTACAGAGAAAAACCTGGACAAGGAACACTTGGATTTGGTCAATGTAACACAGCTGGAAAAAGATACTATATTGGTGTGTTATGAAAGTAAGTGATGATACCCCTTTCCAAGTTTAAACTAAAATTTGATTTTTTGGTTTCTGCAGTAAACGTTGAATGTATAGAGAATGATTTTAGTTTTACAGCTCTTATCAGCATTTTTCCTTGTGCTCTGCAATTCTAAGAAAATATGAGGAATTTGCTGATTAAACTATATTCAAGTCTGTGTTCTCATGTTCTGAAATCTTTAAACAATTTTTTCATCAAAAGGCTAGAGATCTTCAGTTCTTTATTTTTAGGCAGACGTAATAAAGCCTGGAACTGATAAGGGATGACTTTTATGAATTTTGAGGAACATCTTTGAAATTAATTGTGTACTGATATAGATTCTCCATTTGAAGCCCACATATATAAATTGCAATTCTTCATAACTTCAGCCCTTCTGGAAATGAAAATGAATAGTTATTAGAAATGGGTCTGAAATTGAATAAAAGATCAATCCAGGGAAAGCAGAACATGGTCCAGATAAACATTCATTAAGTCTGCTTGTAATGGAAATATTGGCACTGTTATCTAGTCTAGCATTATATCTCTTTGAGATGAAATGAATCTTTGTGCAGTGATTTCTCTTGGCCTTTATTTCATACAAATTCCAAACCAAAAGCATCTGAACATGATAGGTATTTTTATCAATACTTGGTATTTAGTAATAATGAAGTATTGATAAGCTTTTTCAAATGTTTTTATTGATCTATAGATGGATGTGCTTATTATTGGCAAATAGAGCATTAACTTTTATAAGATGTTGTACATTTTCCATGATTTTGTTTATGAATTTGTATTTTGCATATTGAAAAAAGGTTTGTTCTTTTTCAAGTTACCATGAAAACCAGACTCCAATCTCATGACAGTATTGTTGTAAAGTTAAGGCACTGCCAGATTTGAATATGGTATTAATCATCTGTTGCAAGAATTTGACATTTACAAAACCAACTTCTATTTTTTTACAGATTATGTGAAGGTTGTGAACATGAATGGAAAATTAAAATCTAGCAGAAGACAGGCTGCAGAACTTCATTTTGATTTCCCAGTTGAAAGCTTAGGTGAGAGATTTGTACTTTAATTTGATACTTTATCATTACTGATCACTTACCAATAGGTCAAAGTCATAAATTGTATAGGATCTGCCTCATTTTTTGCATATGGCAAAGCACACGTTTCTTTTTGCTAGTCATATCTCTTTTTGCCTTCCATCAGAAACTGCATCATGACCCGCATAGTATTTCAAACTTACAGAATTTATAATTAGGATTAAAATACATTTTGGAAGTTGTTTATGTTTGAATATTTCTTTTACAAATTTTGGCCTTTACAGTTGAAGTTATGAACTGTGTGTCAAGCCCTGAAATGAAGGATTCGCTGTATTAATTTATCACTCTTCCATGTTCACGCTGTGAACATTTTTCTGTCCAGAGGTTGGCTGCTGTTGGCTTGTTTTAATCAGAGGTGATATTTTTTTTTTTGTTGTGTTTCAGTGTGTCTACAGGACAGTGTTTTAGCCTTCCACAAGCATGGCATGCAGGGCAGAAGTTTCAAGACCAATGAAGTCACACAAGAAATATGTGACAAGTCCAGAATTTTCAGGGTCCTGGGTTCAGATAAGTATGTGGACGGCATTTCTACAGTGTTTTATTTGGTATTATGATCTAATGAAAATGTGTATATTTTCAGTATTATATTTCCATTAAATAGAAAAAGAAGGTATGGAATGTCAACATACATGTAATCATTCTTCTTATCAGCTTCTATGACAGTCTGTGTTTAAGTCAGTTTGTAAACCTCCCTGCTTATCTATTATGTTCAACTGTTTGTGATGACGCTATAAACGAAGTATTTTACGCAGCCTGTATTATGAACATACCTTTTCAATAGACTCAGCATGGATGCTCATCCGCTCATTTACACTTTGTTTTTACTAATAATTGTTTTACTCTAATTACCAGGGTAATTTTACTAGAGAGCAGGCCAACCAATCAACCAGACACCAATTCAAATTTGTATGTCCTAGCTGGCCATGAGAACACTTACTGAGAGAACTGGAAGAGCCTTTGCACTTGAGTTCATTTGCTTCTGTGGTTTCTATGGAAACCTTAAAACAACATCAATAACAGACTCCCCTGTTGTACACAGTCAGGAAGATTCCTCTCCAGTGGTGAATAACGTAATGGCCAAAAGCTGACTATAATGAGAGAGAATGGCTTAATAAATTGTATTAGTCAGCAGGTGTTTGTTTTGAGAGACATGATTCCCCCCAGAGGCAGGCTTGGGGCAGACATGGGTGCAATTTCATAGTTCTTCTTGATTGCAGCACTGTTTAATTAAATTCATTAATAAACAATGGAATCACTCAACAGATGAAGAATAATGAGGTTCAGGAGTTGATAAGAAACTGGAAATGATTTTAATATGAGTTGCTGGTAACAGTAAGCAGACCATGTTGACAAGCCTAGTACCACTGTTGCTACTTATATCAGAGGGAACACCAGTTTATTTGAATGCATAAAACATGAGATGTTGCCCATGTTTCCATGTGGTTTCCCAAGCCAAATTGGACCCGACCCAAGGGAGCCTGTTGGAATGAACGCTGGGTTTCCCAGAACCATTTATAGAAACAAGTGTTCCTGTGTCCATGCATAGCACATGTTGGTCTAATTCAATCAATTGTCCCCAGTGGCGTATAGAGCCATTTTACACAGCTTTTCTTAGCTGCAAAATAATTAATTAGTACACCAAGATCAGAGGTCAGAATTGATTTGGCATTTATCATTTATGTATGAGGTAGCCGGTTTGAACATAAAGTACAAAAAATAGTGTCCTATGTGCATTAGAGACACAGCTGCCTTTTCATTTTATGAGTAATATTTTACAACTCATTGGAATTATTTTGGAAGAAAGCATGTATCTATGTCACTTGGATTTCTTATACATGTACAAACATGCTAACAGTGAAAAGATGAACTTTACAGTTGTAACAAATGAAAGCATTGTAGATTGTTTTTCAGAATGGTATGCTGTCCTGTCAGTCAGTCAGTCAAACTGTTACTTAAAATTGTATTACTGAAATCAGATTGATGCATTAACTGTAATCATTTGTTTTCTTTTGATGAAGATGTATTCATAGCTTTACACACAAAGACAAGTAATTAATAACTGAGATAAGCAGATATGTGTAAATATTCTCATAAATGTACAATAATGTCTTACAGGCAACAGTTAACATATTCACTATATAGGTGAATTCTTTTGTGCACATTTATTAACTATTATGGAAGGACTAAACTGGCAGAGCATGTGCAACTATTAACCAATATGTGATCACCTTAAGGTGCATATTTGAAAGGTGCTTCTCAAATGTATTGTTTGACACTAAGTCTCATGGATTTGAATGGGGATNTTTTTTTTTCTTGAATTTGGATATTGATAAATACGCAGTAAGTGGATAATTTGAACATGTTTGAAAGACTGGTTCTTTGAAGCATGTTTTTTCGTTGTGGGTTCTAAAGCATAACTCTCCTTTCGGAGAAAAACGGTTCTTACTTGTGCTTTGGCTTAAGAAATGGTATTTTCACACCGTGACGTAATGTTGTTTATTTTTCCAGGCACAGAAATTGATGGCACATGGTGTCATTTTGACGTCACAACTACGTGGTGTTGGCTGGGTTGCAGAGAAACCGCATATCATGTGCTTTTTGCATGACTCTGGCTGTGCAGTGCAATAACATTGATAATCAAACCTCAAGTCGTGTCCTTCTCAGGATGTAGATTGTTTATATAACTTGATGCTGAAATAAGGTTTAGAGAGGAAATCAAACATTAATCAAGCTTTATACATATCGAAAATCTTTCAGAATCATGATAGTTCTCTTTAATCTCTGGTCTGTTTGAAGTACCATAGCGAAACGTTTGTTTGTAGATTATATACAAGAGAAATGGCACCTTGCACCTATCAAAGAGGTGCAAGAGATATAATCCATTGTCGTTATGTATAATATAAGGCTTTGGAATCAAATAACTCGTTTTCTTGAAATGGCAAAGGCTATTTTTAAACGTTTCTATTAAATAGGAAGGTGCGTCAAAAGTCTTCATTGAATGCATTGGATAAGAGATTAAAATGCAGCGGATTTGGACTGCTTCAGACAATTAAATAAACACTTCTGGTGTGGTAATTTCTTACAGTGCAGAAAGGATAAAACAGGGGGCCTAGCAGTTTCGTTTGTGCATCGAATTAGTAACTTATTGACATGAATAAACACATCAATGTGCAAAATTCCTATTCATGATACAAAGCTGAAATTATCTGGCACATATATCTGTTAGAAACAGGTACTGATCATTTGTCCTTTTTAGATCCGAGACAAGAATTCTTATTAAATTATCAATAAAAAAAATATTGGTGCAGATATGACACTATGAGTGTCAAAGTTTACTGGAAGTCAACATTTATGCCATCAACATTGTCAGTTTGCCTCTGCCGTTTTCGTTGACATCCTCTATATTAACAGTGGCGGTGTTTCAACATGTAAACGACGAAAGGCACACTAGTAACGTCTTTCTGGAAAACGACACAATATGACGAGCTTGGCAACATAACAAACACTACTAATTGAAAAAAAACATACGAAATTTACTGTCTTAAAAATAATCTTTACTAATCAGCCCTATATAGCAGTCATTACCTAACAATCTGTGGTCGCCGACTTAATAATAGACTACAGTTAGTGTAATGTTCATCCAGATCGATTGGGTCAATTTCTAAAATTGTGCGCCTCTCAGTTTATGCGATCCTACTGTAAACTAGGTGGCTCTCGCCTCTAACCTTTCCTTGGCAATACGTACGAAACAGGATGAAGTCGGATGTCTTCAACTCAACGAATGTGTGTCTTTGTATATTGCACGCAAAGCAGTTATTTATGACGCATATTGCAGGTCTTTTCACTGGCATGCCAAATCTTCTTATTCTATATGTTTATAGACTGTGCTATAAGTATAATCGATCGAGCGGCAGTTCCATTATACAGCGATTATATTGTCATTGTTTTAAAATTTTCACATTCTGTTGTTTGTTCTACTGTGCTTCTACCCAAGTGAAGGTAAGGCACAGTCACGTTGTCGAGTTTCAGAGTACTGTCTGCGATTCCCCACTGTACAGCACCTGCCACTCTCAGTAGGTCTCAATAGCCATAGGCGCATGGGCCGCTGGGGCTAACGAGGTTGACACCCCCAAACCCACCTACCCACACTCACACCAAAAAAAATGTGCTTCCTTCGAGTGTACAAGGAAAGTAGTCTGAATTACCAACATCATCCATCACAATTTAAAGCCTGTGATTATCACAGAGAACGCCATCGCGATGCATCAATTGATTAGAAGCATTATTTGCAACCCTACGTGCAAAGAATTTGTTTCAGACACATATAAGTTGAGCAGGGCAGAAGCCAGTCCCTGATTTCTCAAAATCTCTGGTTTTACTTTGAACAATATCTAAAAAAACAGTTTAAGTAATTAAGGGAGTAGATAGGACTCCCTCGTAGAAATTGAGAACATGCTTCAAAGAACCAGTCTTTCAAACATGTTCAAATCATCCACTTACTGCGTATTTATCAATATCCAAATTCAAAAATGAGCGCAACTTCAATTAAAATAAGAAATTATGTAATTCATCTTTATGGTGACACATTTCCTACGTAAAACTCCTGTTCCCTCAGCTATCGCACTTTTAAATGCGAAAAAGATTATTATTTCAAAGTACATCGTGCACTAGCTTCACTTTTAATGAGACAAGACCACTCATTAGTAAACCTAACAGACACTGGTCCAGAGGTCGTGATCATGTGACTAGTTATGAACCACTTCCGTCAGCTTCAGTGTCACTCCTGAAGAAGCTCACGCAATTATGCTGTTTTAGCTAGGGCCACACAAGAGTAACAAAAAAGGTAAAAACCCATCGCCCAACCCTTCAAAACGAAAAGGGATGCACCATTTATTATACCACGACTGTATAAGATAAAATCTTTTAGGTCAATATCTCATCACAATTTTATAGTTTAGCACTTGTAGAACAATGTACAGTGTATTCTGCTCCCAATTGATGTAAATGTCCGTTGGCTGTTTATCTGAAATAGGAAAGCAAAAATACAGATATTTATATCGATAATGTCTCAAAACACAGTGCCATCATGTACTTTAAAGGTGGACTTTACACTTTAATAAAAAAAAAGGTTGCCTTTAGAAAAGAAGCAGTACATTTTATATGCCTTATAGTACTTTCTACAGAATTTTCTCGCAAAATCTTATTTTCTTTAAAAAAAATAATATCCATCTCCCGAATCATTGCTAAACCCATCCTTGAGCTTGGATTCACTTCTAATTAAAGAACTCAGTCCTAAACGAGTCGTGGTTCTTAAAAACAGCCTAGTCTTCCTGACATTAAAGAAAAAATATCGAAATCAGGTACTCTTATTTAAGTGGTCGTTATAGTATTCAAGATTTGAAACGAGAAGATAATTAGTTTTGCAGGATATTAAGACAAAAAAATGATTTCGGGGCATTTTTCNCAAACGCGTTTCGTATACCTTTAAGCGTTTGTTTTTATGTAACTCTTTCTATATATCAAAATGCATTTCCTCATCTCTTTAAATATTTGAACACATCCGAAACTTAATCTGCTTTATTCTAATAGCACAGTAGGCCTACTAAATCAATAAATCCTTTTTAGCCCTTTATATGAAAACGAAACACAAATCGGGGGGAATTAATTGCCTGCAAACTGCAAAATCAACGTGACATACATTCTACTAAATTCACCTATTTTGCAAAAAACAAACAAAATAAATGCTATCCATAATGCATGTACAGTTGTAAAACAGCTAAATCTCAGGACGTCAATCATCTTACTTGTTTCTAAATGTCATATACACCCTGATGCTTTGGCGAGGCTTTCCGAGAGTTGTAACAATATTTATTCTTAATGGAAACCCAAGTCAGGCATTCCGGTTCGATAATACCATTGTTATCTACCGCAGAGCCCCCTAGCGGACAGGTGGCTCAGAAATTCAGCGAATAGAGTTCCTGCAGATCTCTCTTTACCTGTAGCCTATCGCCAGCACTTTGAAAATGTAGATAATCTATCGATCGAGCCTGGAAACAATTTCATTAAGTGACGGGCCAAGAGGATTTGTGAATATGACAGCATTAATGCAACTGAAGTGGCAGGTAGACCCGCCTGGCTTATGAAAACTGTGCGTCCACAAAACATCGTTAACATCGTGTCTTAAAAGCAATTTTCACCGAGGTGTTCAAAAAAATTCCACTTTGCTGTGGACAAGGTGATCGAAATAGAAAACCGAAGTGGAACATAATATGCGTATGTAACGAGAGCGATCAAGGATCATAGGAATCAAAACAAGTGGTTTAAAATACAGCAGGTGCCACCACACAAAGGTTATTTACGATTAGCCACAAGAAATGACAAGAAGTATTCGTTATTGAGTTATTCTGCTCTGTTTTCATCCTCATTAGATCACCCATTTGCCAGGCACACCAGGTGGGCGACGGTCTTGAAGCTACCCGAGCGCGAATGGGTGATGTTGAAGCAGATGGCTATATGGAGAAATAGGCATGTTCTCCATTGATTTCTTATGGTGGTAGAAATCAATCTTGTATCATACTAGCGCCAAGAAACAGATCGAAGCTTAAAATTGCCAAAGCGGTTCCAAGGAAAATTAGGCAAATTTCATTACGCTCGCGATCCAAAAGAGCGAAAGCTTCAGATGTATGAGATGAAGTGAAACTCCCAAGGATGGCACTAGGAGCCTGTTACTTTGTACTTTTGTAAGATTATTTACTCTTTAGATTTCTTTGATAGGAAACATGGATAAACCTCGCACTATGGCACAACGGGGGTGCTGCACAAGACTGCATTTACGAGAAGATAACGCCCGTTTTATTCTGTTAGCGTTCGTAATGGTTATTTACATGCTGTTTGGTGCATCTCTCTTCATGCTTCTAGAGCACGATTTGGAGGCAAACAAAAGGCAAGAATGGAGTAAAACTTATCAGAATTTCTTAGACAGATATGGTGATAAAATAAACACAACTGATTTGGAAGAACTCCTATCGAAACATGAGGAGGCCACCTCTTTTGGTTATGTTCAAAATAAGAGAGAAAGATGGGATTTTGCTGGCTCGTTTTATTTCGTTGGAACCGTAGTGTCCACAATAGGTAAGTCGACATATGTTACTATTTACATAACAATACACACACCTGTTGTTTAGCCCTGATAAATACAAATTTGCTTCTTTCATCATTCAAAGAGACGCTCTTCAATATTTTATTGACTTATATGGAGACAGGACATTTTTTCGACTCACAAAGTTTATATCATAATACCTGTATTGATGGCGGCTCTTGTCCGTGTCCAATATAATTAAAACGCCCAATTTGCCCGTTTGAACGTGAATAATGACAATACATTAATTGAGTGGTGTCGGTTTGCTTGTCTACATCTGCTCTTAGATTTAATGCGAATCCGCTAGTTCAGTTGCCATGACAACAGAGTGTACATCCATGGGAACGAGGGAATGAATAGTTTCGTTGACAACATTTAACATGTTGTGGTCTTAAGTAGGAATTACTTTTTTTTTTGGTAAAGTAGGATATCGGTGGTATCTATGAAATTCTTTTAAAATCAGGAGATAATCAAATGTCATCCCTATGTGAGAGTCAAATATACGAACTCACTGTAAATGTGACTATTTACTGATGGAAAATGCTGTATTCTACAAATTGAGATGGGTCCTTTTTTAATTATGCATTAATTCTTAATGCCGAGTTCTCTTTTTCGTCCACTCAAAGAAATGTCCCAAGTTTTTGTCGTTTCCTTTTGCGTTCGTTTTGTCCGAGCATACCTCACTGCCGTGTTTTGCCAATATCAGCCTCTATGCCGGATGCCAAGTTTGGTTACTTTTTACAACCAGTGCAGTCAAAATCATTTTAACAGAGCATAATTCACATAGGAATAACCAACTATACAGCTATTTTTATTGTAATACGGAAAACTGTCCCCCTTTGCTCTTAAACAATTAATTCAAATTAAATCACAGGTATTTTTTCACCTGGTTTTGGGTACTTATATCAATATAGAATTTTTGGAGACCGGTTTCGTATAAACCTCTCCGTGGAAATGAAGTGTATTTCTGACCACCATGAAGTCGTCAATTAGAGGTCACTTACAAATTTATCATAAGAAGAAATAAGAAAAGTCCGCCCGTGTCTTTATGTCTTTTAATTGTATTATAGTTTTTTTTTTTGTTTTTTTTGCAGCTTACACGAAAAAGATGTATTTGCTTCTAAAATAATGACAGTTTACAGAGTTTTGATTGAGTAGCAGTCAAATGGCCATTTCCCCTAAGTGTTACTTATGTACGGTATTTCCACATGGTCAAAATTCTAATTTGATGTTTCAGCACCATGGCTATCATGGCATAGTTTCATTAATCAAAACAAAAACAATCTCAAAACTCCGTCAAGAAGTAACAATTGTGTCATTATCGATCATCGTAATTTAAAATTTGCATGACAAAATGTTAGATCAAATATGGCCCGTAAAAGCTTTTTGTAAGTATAAGTAAAAACAGTGCGCTAGTCCGATCCTTAACCGCTGGTATCATTCTTAGCTATAAGGAATGTAATAACACCGCTCGGATGAAGAACAAAACAGGATATTTTTTAAACGCACGTAATTTTAACGCGTCATGCCGACTGCTATTATATTTAGCGCACTTTTTAGCATAACGGAAAAGATTACTGTGCGCCTTTGTAATACTGTGATGCTTAGAGCGAAATATGTTGACTTCTCAAGCCGTATTGTGTACTTTAAGTTGGAGTTTCTGACCCATCGCCGACTACCCTTTCCACTTCTCAGTTATCTGATAGGCGTGCAGATTCGGAGACCAAAAATGAAGAAGTTTGCAATCATCGAAACTATACTTACTTTACAAACGCTAACAAAAAATTACCATCAAGTAATGAATCAAGGGTTTTACACAAATGAACCCTGTCTACATGCAACTTCTAACAATTATATTTACAGGTATGCCTGCCTGTCAACTTCGTTGTTTTCGTTCGGGTTATCTGCGTGGTTTTGAAAATTAAAACTGTGACTGGTTGTTCCAAGATGCTTATTTTGGTATTTCAGACAATATTCACATTTTTGCATAATGTAAGGACCAAAGCAAAACAACAAGAGGACTCCGTTTTAAAATACCTGAATGTGAATAATAATAAAAAAAAAAATATATATATATATATAATATATTAATTCTCAGACATTTCTCTGCGACTCTCAAGCTTTACACCCAATGTAAAGATTCTGGCCATGAGTATGCATTTAATTAGATAACACATTCCATTTTAACGTAAATTTATATAATGAAACGTTGTATCAGTTGTCATCAAAGGCTTTTTCTATATCGATCTTTTTTTTTCAATTGATTTCGCGTGTTATAAAATGGCAAGGGTGGCTTTGTAGTACATTGGATTTTCAACAATATACGTATGGCTAGTAGTTAAATTTATACCCGTAAAGACAGATAATATAAGGTAAAAAATACCTATAAATAACTAACTCATATTACGCCATAAAATTACTTCGTCTCCTATCGTAATTGTGACAAGGAAATAAAAAAGTTTTGCTTATCAGATCGAATTTACGAATTTACGCCATGGGATAGAATTGATCTCGTGGTATTTGGAACATTTTTATCTGATACAAATCATACCTTCATTTAGAAATAATATAATATAATGAACATCATCTAATTCAAGGGCTACCTCACAGTCTGTTATCAATATTCACCTGAGACTGTTGGTTTTTTTTTTTTTTTTTTTTTTTTTTTTTTTGTCAAAAATTATATCAGACTCAAATAGTATTTCTCTTTCATTTGACAACCAATACGCATCCTTCTCCGCCTTCGTTATGAATGATATTTGTGAACGGTTGTTGAATCCTTTCAAATGCAGAGCACCTATCGTATTATTTATTTCCGTGCATCTTTGGCATTTATTCTGGACCGCATGGTTATCAAAGCTTTGATACATCTGTTACATGTGTCACTATTTAATTAATAAGTTCAAATATTAACCCTCAGATCTATGTCTATAAATGATATCAAGTTACCATTGTGTTATTGTGTGGCTCTTCTCTTCTTTTGTTGGTGGTGGAGCAGAATTTCCTAATGATGCATGTGTGAAAGCTACGTCTATTGTGAGTACATGGAGGACGTGACAATGGTCCCTGATAGCTATTTCATATTAGGTGTTGTTTGCAAAGCGTGCTGTGGCGAAACCGCACTTTCTGAAGACCTCGTAGGCCTATCATTACTGTTTTTTTTCTCTCTTACTTATCTATCCAGTAAGAGAAACCACAATGCAAATGATCAGTGAATTGAGAGCTGAAAACGGCAATATGCAAACAGCCATCCAAACACTATATTTGGCAATTGTTGTTGTGAATTGTATCATTTCATTTAGAAGTTTGATCGTACGTACATAATCACATAAGCCGCCTAAATATTTCATCGCGCATCGTTCCAATCAGCTCAATCTCAATTGATTGCATTGCACAACGTTTCATTTTAAACTAATAGAATCAAGTTCAAATATCCAAGCCATTTAACACAGAATTGTTCGTTCGCTTTTCAAATTAATCCGGTCTTTATTTAGTTTCAAATAAAAGAAAGGCAGTGATAAAAGTTTGAGTTAGAAAAGGGGAAGTCGTAGAGAAAAACGTAAACTTGTAATTTGTCTCCTTAATTAGCAAAAAGATACAACTCTTGCTATAAAGATAACTTTGAACTGACAGATTCCATAGGTGCCACACGAGTAATGATGTAGCATAATACTAGAAATATTTCATTTGGAAAAAAACTTAGATAGCTTATTTAAAATTTAGGAAAGCCTGTTGTCAAAAACGGGTCCGTGTAACAAGGAGTTATCCAGGCCGATAAATATGGCCGCGTTCACAACAAGTTGATCCACGGTCTAACTAGTCCCCAGGTCAAATATGGCGCGCACTTGGCAAGAGATTCCCACCTCCCACGCGTGCCGTCACAGCAGGGGCTGACCAATTAACTTTCGGCACACAAGTGGGTCGCGCCATATTTGATCCGCAGACTAGTTGGTCCGCGGATTAACTGGTTGTGAACGCGGCCTATAATATTCCATTTCTGTAACCTGAAATATTTCCATGCTCATATTAACTGTATTCGATAGAGGAAAACTGGACTTCTTACAAAATGGAAACTACATGTAAAGTTGTATAGTTTCTAAAGCCTTTGGTAAAGACAAATAAGAACACTAAAATGGTAATAAACAGAAACATTTTTATCCTGACCGGTTTCATTTGATCACCAGGGGATTGTTAATTTCGTTGTCATGGAGAATAACAATAACGGGTAACATTATATTCTACAATGAAATTGTTGATTGTAGGAGCATAGTATTGGATGACAGGAGTAATTGAAGGTTTCGCTGTGTGTCAGCAGAAGTCAATTTATTTACAGAGGTTTTCTGAAAGCATCAAACAAATTTTCTTTTTGTAATAAGGAATATTTCCGCCAATGCTTGCTTCCAGAAACAAACAGAACCTCGCAACAATTAAACCAATTTATGACATTCTTGCGCCGAACCATGACTTAACTGCAGCCCAGTCATTGACACATCCATGTAGCAAACATGAGGCGCTCGTGTGTTTATTAATTTTATAATACAAATATATTCAAATATGTTCAACAGTATTTTAAACTTTCGTCTCTATGTTTATTTTTACTTATGTATGTTTTTCTCTGTGTTTTTGCTCTGTCTGTCTATCTATCTCTCTATCTATCTAATAACCTCTCTATGTATCTTTTTTTTATCTATTTATCTCCCCATGGTCTGTAAAATATTTTCCATCCAGACAGTTTTGACGGTATTAGATATATTTGAAATAATATAAGTAAATAATTCCAGGAATTCATTGATCTTTTTGAGAATAAAGTTTGATCTTCTGAAGTGTCGAAGTAAATTTAGAGATATTACCAATTATTTGAAGTGAATAGATCCAAACAAGCAACAGAAAGTATGTTGCACAAAATGGAAGTCAATTATTTGATCACGCTTTCTCTCTTTCTATCACACACACACACACACACACACACACACACACACACACACACACGGGC